GTAGGAACTTCACTGAGGATGCAGGGAGTATTAAATGGCTACTCATAACACATTTGATGGGAGAACAATCCATCTGATGTTCTTTGGAGCCATCCATGCTTTGTCTTCAGTAAACAAAAATAAGACTAAGTGTGCATTGGGTCATATGGAAGTAATTTATGGATGTGAATTAAGCAGAATCATCAGATTCTTAAATCCAACCACCTGGAGGAGATGCTTCTTGATAAGTAGACACTATTTCAGCCAACTCACATTTGCATCACAGATACTCTTGTTACAATAGTCAACTGAAGATTTACGAAAGCACTCATAATTTAAATCAAATGTGCCTTTGTTTTAAAAATAGAATCGCCGATTTTGTGGGCATCAGCTATTCCCATTTTTGTGTGTCCTCCTTTTAGTAGAAAATAATGCTTCCAGTTCAAGATTTTGATTTACCACATTAGATTGGCCAGTCCTATTTAATACTTTAACTCCCTTCTTTGTCGTGGTTCTGTTATACAAAATAATACTTATTTGAGGGACTAGTTCATCAGGGAGGTAAACGGAAATTAACATAAGCAGCAGCCCTATGTTTGGGTAGGAGCTTCTGCTGCTGTGAGCAGACACGTTTGCAGCACTCATCTGGAGGAGGCCTGGGAGAGGATGTGGTTGGCCACCCAGGCAAGGATGCCCTGTGGAGTGGCCCAGCAGCCCCGACAAGTCCCTCAGCAATTTCTCTCCCTCTTGTTCCTCCAGACAGTCCCATCAGTGCTCCAGGCTCCTTTGGTCTAGGCCCCACACTATTGTCTACCCTTTCCTTGATTCCCAAGCTCTCAGGGAAGGTCTAAACACCCACCTCCATTGGCACTGTAAGAGGTACAGACATGCTCTTTGGAATCACTATTTCCCCTAGTCCCATCTCAGAGTGTCACTACACCCTGGAGGGGACTCCCACGCCAGCAAGCAGAGTGAGCTAACATCTCTACACTCATGCTGGCCTGTACAAGCACTTGGTACATCGTGGAAGCCAGTTAAAACTGTTTGTGCTGTCTTTTCCATGTCTGCAAAATAAGATTGGCAGCACTTCCCTAGCTCCTAAGGCTCTGGTAAAAATTTCTCAGCGCCCCTGGAAAAGCAGTCCATTAAAATTAAAACAGACATCAATGATGCTTCAGAGAGGGGACTCTTAGTGGACCCCGCATGGTGGCTATTTCTCTGACTTGTACATACCCCAGGAGAACTTTCAAGTGCCCCTTCCAGGAAACCATGGGCCACAGTGCCTGGAGGTTGAGGAAGGAACTTTGACTATCAGCCTCAGCTTTGACAAGCACAGGGCAGGAAAGACACCACTGACAGCCACACTATCAAGGACACGTTTTATTTTATTTTATTTTTTTTAAATATATTTTATTGATTTCTTACAGAGAGGAAGGGAGAGAGATAGAGAGTCAGAAACATCGATGAGAGAGAAACATCGATCAGCTGCCTCCTGCACATCCCCTACTGGGAATGTGCCCGCAACCAAGGTACATGCCCTTGACCAGAATCGAACCTGGGACCTTTCAGTCCACAGGCCGACGCTCTAGCCACTGAGCCAAACCAGTCAGGGCACGTTTTATTTTTTTAAATGGACAAGCTCAGAATTTGAGTTTGTCAATGTCAGACTCGTAGCCCATGTTCCTGGGCCATTTATAAGCCTGTTCTTTTAGGAATTATCTCTTATATCTACATTCAAATACTCAGGCACCTTCTGAAGTTTTTGATCCTTTTGACCATTAACATTGCAATGGAAATTGAAGAAGTTTTTATGTAAAAAACATGTTTTATATATGTCCATAGAGAACTAGTATGGAGGAATATCTGAGGAGAAACCACAGGAAACACACAAAATAGATCTGCTCATTTTATTTTAAATTATATTTCTTTGGTGCGAATTAAAAATATAATCTGACTAAAGAAAAGCCGTATTAAAAACTACACAGAAGATCTCTCTTTCCCTCAAAATGGCTTCTCCACACTCTTCCACTCAGCACACACACTTGGCTCTTGTCTTTCTTCCAGAGGTATCCTCCCAGCTGGGAACTGTCCTGCCCTCCCAGTGGGCCTCGGTGCCTGTCCTGTCATGTCTTCCAACATCAGAAGTGGAAATCAAACAGGCAATAGTTATATCAGAGGCACTTCGTTGGCAACTGCTCCTCATCTGGATTCCTGTTCTGTCTATATTTCCAGAATGTAATTCACCCCAGGGTACACTTAACTCAGACTGTGTGAACAAGCTACATACATTTCTCAGGGAAAAAAAAAAATAATAATCAAGTTATATTTTCAAGAAAAATCCTACCACCAAAATAAACACTCAAACCTTTCCTATCTTCTAAGAGCAAAGCTCTTGAATTTCTTGATGCTCACAGCTGCGAGGAGCATGACTCATTTTTTTTAATATCACATGTAGAACCCACCCGATAGCCAAAGACACAGACCAGGGTATGGTAGAGTTTTCTAGCCAAGACGTGATGCAGTAGTAACTGCTGGGAGTTCAATAGTAGCAGCAGTCATTTTTATTTATGTCTTTATCTGTATAATGGATCGTGTGTAGCCTGGGGCAGAGGGGAAGAGCAGTCTGGGTGAGTCCAGTTGATGCTTTCAGTTAACTTCAAGGCTGATTTACAGTTCAATTAAACGTGGGTGGCCGTACATGTCTCTTTGTCAGATGCAGGTCCAAAACATTGTTCTCACTAATATCTGTAATATACATTTGCTCATTGCTGGACTCTCTGGTGAATACTTTTTGTTCTAAATAGTTAGAAATGTCATTCTATATGGAATTTTAGTTTCAGTTAATAAGCCTTAATGTGATTATATTCTAAAACATATATTATTGCATATCCATTCAAGACTTCACAAGATTTTTTCCCCACTATTTTAGAAAGACTCTTGCTAAAATAAAAGGAAAGAAGAAAGAAGAACAGGACATGATTTGATATCCTGAGGCACATTTTTATGTGGGAACCTTACAGGCAACATTGAAGCTAAGGGATAAAATAGAATAATTCCTATTTAATCATCAAATCTAAATCTAATAGTGAAGAATTTGAATATTAGCTATTTGTAATGACTATTCAAGAATACTGATATTTATATATAAATCATATCTTATTATTTTTATTTGTCTATCAGTATATGAGACAAGGAATGCTATTTTTCCCAATCAATTTTAAATTCTAGAAATTTTTAAGAAAAACAAAGAATAATCATTTCTGAAGTTCTGAGTTTCCATTTAGTATAAATATCTACACTAGAAAGATGCAAATTGACCATATCTTCAGGACGCCCACCAGCCAGTCAGGTGTTAGTATGCAAATTAACCCAACAAAGATGGCAAGTTAATTTGCATATGCAGGCGCCAAGCGGCTGGGGGTGGGGCAGGACACTTGCGCCGTCGCCATGGCGACAACGCAAGCGTTCTGCACCATCCCAGCAGCTCCAGGCCTCTGGGCAGTGTGGGAAGGTAGAAAGGCGGCTCTGGGCCCAGAGCAAAGGTGGTGCTGGCAACCAGGGGAAGGAAGGCCCGTTCTTGCACAAATCTTCGTGCATCGGGCCTCTAGTTTAGTTTAATATAAATCAGTTCTATTTTTATCAATTCTGTGCACATCTGTACATTCCAATAAAATAAAGGATGCTTTTACTTCATGGGAGAAACTAATTGAGTGTTTATACTAAAACTTTTATATAAACTGCAGGAGCAGCCACTAAAAGTGAAAATATCCACATGTGTGAATTCTAACACTTGGAGTGCGGGAAACGAGTTAAGTCGGCTCGCGTGAATTGCGCGTACTCCGCGGGAGCCGTCTTTAACTCGGTTCATATAGATTTGCGGTGGAGTGCGGGAAACGTGTAAACTCGGGCCGATTGTAACTGCGTATTACCAAATATTTGTTTGTAATCCACCCTTTTGGTGGATGGAACAAAACCAAAAGACAGAGCCATCTTATATTTTGGCGGGAAATTCACCCGCACTCCAAGTGCTAACATGAGGGTACACAAAATTATACTTGTAGAAATGAGGCTTGTATTGAGAAGTGGATCCCAGAGTGCAGGAATATTAGCTGACCTTGACCATAACTAAGTTTTACTGGTTATTTCCTAAACAAAGACTCTTGACTGTTTAGTAAACAAACATTTTCTTTATTCATTGCACAAAATTTGGTCAAGGCATCGCACAAAGAATAAATGTTTTTGTTAGAATGTGTTAAAAGTTTCGCTTCTAAGCTTGGCATTTATGGACTGGGCCACACAGGGCAAACTCCCTGTCCTTTGCAAGGGTATGGAGTTGGAAATGAACTTAAGGATCAAACTCTACGGACCATCTTTTGCATTTGATAGTTTAGTTGTATTTGTGCTTTTAGATTATTAAGAATGTTATAACAGCTTTATTGGAATATTATCTCTTTTTCTCTTTAATATGGGACATTTGAACATTCCCTGAATTTGAAACTTGCTGTTGTTATATCTTGGGAACAAAGTTATTTTTTATGGGAACACATCTTTGAATTATAAATGTAAGTTAATAAATAATACATAATTGATTATACATTTTTAAATATTTAAAATTTACTAAACAACTTTTTATGTACAGACTAATTCCTTTATCACCTTAGCAAATATTAATTGAAGGATAATATGAACATACAATAAAAAGATATGAAATGAAAATGAAAAAAAGGAAATTAGGATCTAAACACATTGTATGTCCACATATATGTTGTCACAGTTTTACAGAAAATACTGTGCATTTGAATCATCATTTACTGGTACAGTGGCCACACAGCAGAAGTGCTTAAGTATAAAATTTTCACCATGAAGGGTGGGGCCTGGGCAAAACTATAATTGCATCAAAACAATGAAAAGTTGAAGAAAATTCCTATTTTTAAATGTCTATTTTCAAAGAGTAGAACTTAAACTTATTCTTTTCCTTCACAGAAGAATGTCTAAATCGCACGTATCTTTTTCTTTAACAGATAATTCTGAAATAATCAGCAGAAATGGAATGGAATGCCAAGAATCTGCATTGAGAATAACTAAACATTGTTACTGTACATACTATCCTGTTTCCTCCTCAATAGAATTGCCACAAACTGCATGCTAAATAAAGATTTAGTTCTTCTGGACAGACCACAACTCTAAGGAGCTAGTGCTGCTATATCATATATGAGTATTAAATATGGTATGCTTAGTATATTCCAACCTAAGATAGTTAACTACCTGAGACCAGCTGTGATGTTTAAAGACATAAAGGATCAAGTTTACTTTGAAAGGGTTTCTAAACATAGTTTCTGTCCTAGGAATATTGTCTTATCTCCATAACTATAGCTGATGCAGAAAGTCCAACCAATTTACTCATTTCGACTCAGAATATTTCAAAGTTAGCAATAAACAAATAGCAGTAGTTTAAAACCTATTCCAAGGGCAGGTTCAATTCCAACTCCAATTACTGTCATTTCATTTTCCCACTGGATCAAAGGGTATGTTTCACTTCTTGACACAAATGCTGCAGCAAAGATGAGAAGTGAAGTAAAAAACTGATACCTGTCCTGCAGGTCTAAAATTTGAATGGAAATTCAAGCACAAGTACTGGGGACACATCAAAGTGTGGTATTTTGTTTGCCTGGAGATGCCGTATGGAATCATGTGATTCTAGAGTAACATTAACTAGATTGCAAGAGAAACTTTGCACGGTATGAGCTTCATACCCCACCAAACAAAGTCTTGAAGGTATTATTTTACAAGTATATTTTTAAAGTTGTTTTATAAGAGAGACTTTGTAGAAGTGCCTAGATTTTGCCAGACTTCATCCAGCTTGACAAGAATGAGAGGCCCATGTCAAGAGTCTAATCTAATGGATTAGTCTTTCAAACTCACCATCCGTTTGCCTGTTACAGAATAACTCTTCTAAACTAAAAACCTAGTCAAATAAGGAAGCTGTAGGTGAGGAGATCTGTATAATATTCTAATTTAAGTAAGTTTGAGTTTAGTCACTGAAAATTTGACTGTGACTTTAATCTAAATTACTATGTAAACAAAAAGTAGGTAGTTTCACTTTATAAAAAATCCATTACTGTTCTGCATTTCAAAAAGTTGGATTAAAGGGTTGTAAATGACTACAGCATGGAAAAAAAATAGTTCTTTTAATTCTTTCACCTTAAAGCATATTTTATGTCTCAAAAGTATAAAAACTTTAATACAAGTACATACATACATATTATATATACACATACACATATATACTATATGGATGAAACATATTTTAATGTTGTTTACTTTTTTAATACTTGGTTGTTCTTCAAGGTAATAGCGATATAATTAAATTTTGTTCAGAAGGTTTGTTTTAAAGTTTATTTTAAGCACTATCGTACCAAATATTTCATATTTCACATTTTATATGTTGCACATAGCTATACAGTACCTACGTAGTTTTTAAATTATTGTTTAAAAAATGAAACAGCTGTTAAAATGAATATTATGTGTAATTGTTTAAAACATCCATTTTTTGTGAACATATTAGTGATTGAAGTATTTTGACTTTTGAGATTGAATGTAAAATATTTTAAATTTTGGCCTCACAGCCTGTTCTGAAAACTGTATGCACCAACCATATCATTTTTTTTAGAAAAAAAAAGAAATTCACCATTTTAATTAATGTTGATCAAAGTCTAATGACTATCTTATATCATAGATTTGATAACCCTATAAAAAATCACATTCTAAGTGTAATCTTACATAGTGCTTGTATTGTTACATTTGTTTTAATTTGTGGGAAAGTATTGTATCTAACTTGTATTTCTTTGGTAGTTTCATCTTTATGTATTATTGATATTTGTAATTTTCTCAACTATAACAATGTAGTTATGCTACAAGTTGCCTAAAACATTCAAACTTATCTTCTTTTTTCTTTTTTTCTTTGTTAATTCACTTAAACTCATTGAATACATAGTATCCATTACTAAAGGTAAATTATGTGAATCACTGAAATATTTTTGTAGACTAATTGTTGTAACATTGTCTTTATTGTTTTTCTTTTATTTCATGATTTTGATGTTAAAAATCATTAGCACACAACTATTTTCAGCCCTTTAATGAGCATCAACAACATCACCTGTATCCCCAAGCAAATA